TCACGCGACATTTCAAATCAATATATCGTCGAAAGTATTCGTTTATGTTAGAAAATAAAAAATACGTGTCTAATGATTTAAAAAAATCTACCAGGCGGGCATTAAAATAAAAAGTATCTAGTCATCTACCCACATGGCGTGATGTTTTCAAAATGTACTATGAGTATGAGTTCGTATGCGCTTTCGAAATTTGCATTTGCACTCGTTGACCAGTTATCTTTTGTTTGAAACATTTTATTTCTTAGTAAAACTACATTATTAGGTACCAAGACAGGACTATCTTACTTCGGGACAAAATCGAAATATATTTCACGATGTATAACTAAAATAATATTAAGTGTGGGAGAGCCGTGCTGGAGATATCGTTAGTCCACCTAGTGGAAGGCCTGCCCACGCTTCGTCTTCCAGTCCGTGGTCTCCACTCAAGGACTTTCCTGGCCCATCTGCCACCAGTCCGTCGAGCGACGTGGCCTGCCTCGTCTGATGGAGTGGGCAGACACAGTGTAAAATGTAAACCCTGGCAGTGGAGCTCTTAGAGAAAAAATTTCAAAACGTTGTCAATTTTAATTTATTTTTATATTTTCAGCCATGATCGTGCCACTATAGGGCAAAGGCTTCCCTACCCTCATTCCACTCCTCTCTGTGCATAGCTTTCTGCGGCCAATCTTTGTCGTAGGTGTCAAGTTCGTTCCGCCATCTCCTTCTGAGCCTGTCGCGACGTCACCCACCGCTCAGCCGACATGGGACAGATGTGACAGCCTAGTTCCATTTCAAACCTGCGGCTTTTTGACCAACGTCAGCGATTTGAGTCATGGACCGCAGTGTGGTGTCCGATAATCGGACTCCTGAGATTACTACGATCCATGGCCCGCTCCCAAACCCTGACTGTGGACTTCTAATATTGTGCCAAAGACCAACCTATGTCATTTTTTACCTAATTAGATATTCATGACAAAATTAAATACTTTTTGTTTGATGTTCATATAGCCTTATTTACCTAATCCGATCGTGTACGGTCGGCTAACGGAGGGTATGGTAACAGGATTTGTCAAACGTACGTATAATACATGGTAGGAGACAGTGACGAACTAGGGCGGAATGGTATGGTGGCCATGAGTTCGAGAGATTTGATATTTACTTGTAAAGTCTTGTTTTTTTTGGAATGTAGTGAAAACGCTTTGGCCCTAGAGCCATTTGTTTTTTTTATGGGATAGGACGCAAACGAGCTGTCGGATCACCTGATGGTAAGCGATCAGCGCCGCCCATGGACTCCCGCAACACCAGAGGAGACACAGGTGCGTTGCCGGCCTTTTAAAAAGGAATACGCTCTTTTCTTGAAAGTGTGAAGGTCGTATCGGTTCGGAAATACCGGAAATTTGTTGATAAAAACCGATAATGGTGACTGAATGCCTTACAGGTAGACTGGCCATAAGTGCTATTATAATTACCAGCTAAGTTAATAATCTATATAAATCCAAAACCGCTAAATCGATCTGGGTTTTTGACACAATTTCAATAGGACTATTGTCAATAATAAATGTCGTGGTGGCCCGTGGTGCGGGTTCGAAATCTATCAACGGCAAGTACTAATATGACTTTTTCCGAGTCATATGTACCAATAATAAATAATCAATCTTTTCTTAGATTATTTAGACACCACTGATAATTATCAGAGCATTAACCACCACGCTTGCTCAATGCTGGTTGGCGACTGGTTGTTGGCGACAATGGTGGTTAGATTTAAATCTATTATTAACTTAGCTGGTACTCAATAATAGCACTTATAATTAGATTATAAGTCCAGATTTCCTCACGATGTTTTCCTTCACCGTTTGTCAGTGGTGTCTAAATAATTTTAGAAATAACATATAATAACTCTGAAAAAGTCACATTGGTACACGTTTATCCTTCATTCTAATAAAACTTATGTAAAAGATAAGACTGTCCCGTTGGTCGAGTGGTTGCAAGTGCGACTACCGGGCAAGGGGTCTCGGCTTCGATTCCTGGGTCGGGCAATGTAGGTACTAATGGGTTTAAAAAAAATCTCAGCAGTAGCACAGAGTTTGACATTGTGCCCGGTATATAGCAATAGGCTCACCCCCTATTACATGGGACTCATAACAGAAATAGTAAATAGTGGGTGTTACATTGTAAGTATACCTCTATTGGCACTAGCTACTTCCGCGCGGTTTCACACGCTCTGCTCAGCTCCTATTGGTCGTAGCGTGACGTTTTATATTCTTCCTCAAAAAATGCGCTATTCAACACAAAAAGAATTATTCAAATTAGACTTGTAGTTCCGAAGATTAGGGCGTTCAAACAAACAAAAAAAAAACAACTCTTCAGCTTTATAATATTAGTATAGATTAAATGCCGTAATGCGCACCTCTGCCTATCCCTTCGGCGATAAAAGGCTTTATGTTATGTTTTGTGTAAAAAACAACGTAAGAAAAAAACCAATCCCCACTTTTTGCGAAATAATACTCTCCCTACACTCGCCAGAAACCGTATCATCTCTAATTACGTTGGATTTGTTGCATAATGCTAATGAGTGTCTTTGTTGAGAACCGAACCTTGGGCTCCTTGACATACACTTAGCATTGTGGCTTTATTAATTAGATAGTATTTAATACGATAGTACTTTATATGTTGTTGTGGGTAGTTTTATATAACATTACTTTTTTATGGCATAAGCCGATAAACGGGCAGACGGATCACCTGATGGTAAGCGATCGGCGTCACCCATGAACACCTGGAACACCAGAGGCGTTACAAGTGTGTTACCGGCCTTTTGGGGATCAGGAGTTTGAGGATCGTTGCGGATTCAGGAATTGGGGAGATTGGGGAACGGGAGGGTAATTGGGCCTCCGGTAACCTCACGCACACGACGAAACACAACGCAAGCGTTGCTTCACGTCGGTTTTCCGTGAGGCCGTGGTATCACTCCGGTCGAGCCGGCCCATTCGTGCCGAAGCATGGCTCTCCCACACTTTGGCATTTTAGCTTGGCATTTTGGCATTTGGCAGATTGGCAATATGAACATTACTTTTAAAAAGGAGTTAAGCTCTCTGTTGTTATATTCTGCCAACATGGTAGGCGCAGTGGTTGTCGGAGTCGCGGTTGCGATTCCCACACCTATAGAAAACTGATAATGGCATGTTCTGAGCAAAATTCCCATTATTAGCCCGGAGTCAGAAAGTTCGGCAGTGTTTTATTTCAGTTTCTGTGCCTCGGAAAGTATGTAAAGCCATTGGTCCCACGCCTGATGTCTCTCTGGTCGTGTCGGTCTGCCGTCCTATCGGGTTCCAAGAGTGAGGAACAGAGAGTGCACCTGCTTTTGCGCACACACTTGTGTACTATAATATCCTCTGTGTAATGGGCTAGTCTAGTTAGACTGGCCACCATGATTGAAACCGATGGGGAAATAGGGATGATGACAGGGTATAAAAATTAAAAATCAACGAAGTGAATCAGGTAAGGAGAAGAAAAAAATTATAGTTTCCACTTCCCTCTGTGAATTACTGCAGGAGACAGAGTAATTAAGCCTAAAGGCACAAAAAAGAGACTGTACAACTGGATGAAGCCCAGTCGCCAAGCATCACGGAAATTTGACTAAAAACTAAGTGGGTCCTATGTGTAAGCTGTTATACTTGCTTCCAATAATAGGTTGATCGGACTTTATTAAAAATTAATATACAAACTTAAATAAATAAATACTAACTTTTACTAAATATATACAACTTGACAAAATTAAATCAAAGAAAACTAAAATAACTATTTTCACAAAGCATTATTATTATTGGAAATGTTGAAATTAAATTTCCCAGTAATATTTACTGATAATTTGAATAAAATATCTGAGGATGAAACCACTGGGAAGGAACTGAGAATCAAAAGGTAAGAGACAGATCCTGCTAAAAGATAGGTAATTATCGTAAAATTGAACATTAATTATTTATTAAAACATCTCATTATTCTTCATTCTTCACACCAAATACATAAAATACAGTTACTATACATTTTCCATACAAAATAATCGATTAATATTAACTGACAATCGAATGCTAAAAGCTTCATTAATAAAATCGATAAGAGAAAAAAAAGTAAAAATGTTTATGCGAAATAAAATCATTTGGCATAATTAGCATAAAATTATAAATGATTATAATGTGCTGTATGGTCCGTGCGATGTTTCGGCGTCATACCCTTTTACGACTATAAACCAGTTGTGGACTTTTTTCAATGGCCGCTTATGGCTGCGTTCACGAACGGGCAAAAAGCTCTTTATTCGAAAACTGTTTCGAATAAAATTGTTTATTTTAGCTAAAGTTTGAAATAAAAATTATGTGTCAATTATAAAATGAAAGTTAAATGTTTGTAGTGGTGAATAAGATGTTTATGTGTAGAATATTAGTGTAAGACATTAAAAAGATGGCGATAAAATGAAAGCTCGGCGAAGCTCGGAACGCGTCGTTAGCGAGGGGCGAGCGGTGTCGCGGGGGAGGGGGGCGAGCATGCGTACCGAGCCCGCGGGTCGCATTCCAGTAGTTCGGCCGACCACCGCGCGGCGCTTACGTACCCGTACTATTCCGCGTCGCCCGTTCTCAATACAAAGAACACCTCTGTATTGTAAAAAATCTGTGATGTATTGATTAATTTCAACTTTATCCTCTCGCTAATAACCGTCTAACACCACAGTGAAGTTCAAACCAGTGTTAAAATCATAGAAAACGTCGATTCCAAAGCGTTTTGAACGGGCCACGTCCTATGAAATTCCTCATTTATCGTTGAATAGAATCTAGCGGTCGGAGGAACATGGAGGGCCCGTCGCGGCGTCTCTGAATGGATTGATCGTGTTTTATATGTGAAATTGTGGACGTTCCGTGGTGTTTAGTGATATTTGAATGTAAATATGGATTGGTGTTTGTGTGAAACAGTGTAGGTAGCACAGAGTTCGTAGCGTCTCCGTCGTATTATGCGCGTCGAGTAAACCAGTCAGAATGGTTTCGCTCACGTACTTCGGCCTCCGTCACACGCCGTGGACCGTCCTGGTGCTGATTTTCTTCATCGAAAGTGTGATGGGGAACTATGCCAAGTCCTTCTACATACATTGGAATACCACAAACAGCATATTTAGAATAGACAACACCGATCATGTATTCGACTTGAATAAAGGCAACGCGCAGTTCGAGTACGACCAAGTGAACATAATATGTCCAGTGTACACACCAGGGACTTTTGAGGAGGACACAGAAAAATATATAATTTATAATGTGAGCAAAGAAGAGTACGATACGTGTAGAATAACAAATCCGAATCCTCGGATAATAGCTATATGCGATAAACCGCACAAATTGATGTTTTTCACAATCACCTTCCGGCCATTTACCCCGCAGCCGGGCGGACTAGAATTCTTGCCCGGGAAGGACTACTACTTTATATCGACCTCTAGTAAAGACGATCTGCACAGACGCATTGGGGGTCGATGTCTGAGCCATAATATGAAGCTGGTGTTCCGGGTGTGCTGTAAGCCGGAGGAGCAGTCTCCTCCGCCGCAACCCCAGCCGACCCTGCCACCACCGCCGCCACCACCCACCACGCCATCCACCACCACGACCACAACAACAATGAAGCCGGTCACTAAAAAGACGCACAAGTACGACAAGACGCCGAATGAAGTTATCAAGAGTGAGGAATTGTCTCACTCACGCGGGGCTGCGTTGGCTTCGTCGCTCGCTCTCGCCCTGGCCGCGAGCGCGGTTTTAGCGCCCCTGGCTCGGTGAATGTGCGCCCGGGCGGCTCGACCACCGCGACCCGACCTCGTCGACAAGCCAGGCCCAGCACAGACTCTACACACGCTGCATTTACGCCCAGACACTCTGATTTACACGTGAATATGTGCGTAAGAAACAGTGTTAGAAGTAAAACTAAAGTGAACAGTATAAGTGATGTGCCCCAAGGATTGTGGATCTGACTCGACTAGTAAGTAATCGAATGGTGATGAAGGGATGTGCAAAACTCAAGTTCCGATCAAGTTCCAAACGACAAAACTTTAGTCTGTAAGGGACACGAGAGCCTAATTTTTATCTAAGTAATTATGGGCCTACTGAGTAATCGAACTAATTTGTGAAGTTACTTTTCATTAGATGTCAAACCGTAGACTATCAGTTAAATATTTATATATAAAGAAATGTTAACATGTATGATAAAATTAGGTTTCTTAAACCATTTAGGAATTAACGATTTTTTATATTTTTCATTATGCAAAAGATATTTGTAATAAGACTTAGGGTTCTTAACGGATCAATGCAGATAATAGGAAAACGTATATAAAGAAGAATTAGGTAGCTTTTTTTTAATTTTTAGTTCAAAAGACAAGTTTTTTTTAATGTTTCAACACAACAGATATTGCATTAATTAGAATTTATTTATAAATATAAATGAAAAACTTTTGGACAAGTACAGAGTCTTGTCCCGACCACTGTGATTTTGGTTTTAGTATTTTTCTCTTTATAAAATGCTTTTATTATGTGATATATTTACCTTTTATGTATTAAAAGTGAAGCCTTTTTCACCTCATTTCTCTTGACTGATTTTGCATTTCAGCTTTTAATTTTTATTTAAAAAAAAATTAAATATAAATCGCTGAGAACACCACTATCTTAGATAATGGCTGTACAGTGTACAGACGCCATTTTAACATCGAAATAGCTAATGAAATATAAAAAAAGATGGTGGAAAGCGTTTTATGGGTAAATAAAATAATTGAAACCTACACCTATTTAGAAGAGATGAAATTTTCAACGATGTTGATATAACAGTGAAAATTTCATTTTTTCCGTAGACACGAATAAGCACTCTCGTGCCATTTTGGTAATGTTAATAACATGTTCTAACAATATTAATGAAATAGTCAAATAGTTTAATAGTAGATGAAATAGACCGGTTTTCTTTTAGAAGTAACTCAATAGCGACAGTTGATATAATTTAGGTAGCTCATAAGAAAACGTTTGACATTTCAAATTGTATTGAGATTATAAACAAAAGCTAATGTAATTCCCTAAACAGTGACACGTTATTAGTCAAATTACTTGACACAATCGATTTCGAAGGTAAAGAAAATGAAATAGATCAATCAGATGATATTTCCGAAGTAATTGACGAAGAACAGAATATTCTGGATGACAAAACTAATTACTGACAAAACAACGCAAATGGTTGAACCCATATTTAAAGGAATTCAGAGGAAAGCTTATTAATTTGAGTCATTGCATAGGAATGATATTCGACCTATCCACAGCAAGACCATAAGTCATTCCAATGTGACATTTGCAGCAATTTATCTCAATTCTCCAAGATTTATTCATAATAAATAAAGAAATGCAATACCACAAAAATGGTGGATTCTTATCGATACATCAAAAAAGAGTTTCCATAACTTCTGGTATGATTCAAAAAGCATCTGGCCGTAAAATAAAGAAATAAACGTTCTAAATTTAAACTGCAGCTAATTAAAGATAAAAAGAACGTGTCACTAAAAAGGTTTCATTCTCTTTTTAAAAACAAACGGTTTTTAACAGTGACTTTGGTCGTGCATTGTTTTCTAAACAAATGTCAGTTTAAAAATAGTTTGTAGCTTTAAGACGACATCAATTTTAGACTACAAGCTATTACCCCGTGACTTGGTTTAGGAGTAAATGACATTTTTATGTGACAAACGAAAACAAAATGATCCTTCGGGAATTATTAATCCGGTTAAAAACTATACTATGTGCTATATTAGCTAATAGCCAGATACCATTTAACCGCTTATATAACGAGAAATCAAAAATTCTATTGGAATAACGTAAGTTTTACTTCTCAGTATCATTTCCATACATTGAATTTTTACTCTAGCAAACTAGCGCTTTTAGCCGTTGGCTCAAAGCACTGATCTATAATCTATCTTTATGCGACATGCGGAGATCAGTTCACTGATTTTTGCGTCTATAACTTTAAATCTTTGCATTGGTAACATTTTTTTCAAAGCGTTGTCAAATACAAACAATAACAGACCTCAAAATCAACTCGACCGAGTTTTTGATCACCATGAAAGTACGGATAATCGATTTAAGATTTAGCATATTCGAGCTTCAAAAATAAACAAAACACTCGTTGACTTAAATAAAATCTGCCCTCAATATTGGTGCGATATTACAAAAAGACCTTTGAGTAGAAAGATTTCTCTTCAGACGTCCATCTTGATATAATTCTGCCAATTTCTCTTTGAATGATATTCTATTTTTATCATGATTATGATAAAAAGTTATAACTTAATGAAATGTGTCCCGATTTTAATTAATTTTATGATTGTTAGTGACTTTAATATGGAAGTTTCTAATTAAGTCTTTAAAATTTTCATGTATTAATGCTTTGACTGTATAGATAGATGTCTGTAACTCCGTTACACAAAAACTTCTGAACATATTTGGATGAAATTTCGTATACAAGTAGATTATGACGAAAAATATACCATTTATAACTTTTAATCCCGTTTTAATATCAAAACTAAGCTAAATTCTTTGAAATACTCAGAAATATTTCAAAATTTTCAATTCTCATCGACAACGGATATTGGTATCGCTACAAACCTTTTGTTGTTTGCATTTCACATGTCATGAGCGGAAGGTACTGGACAAACACCCGAGATATTACAAAATACACATTTCTACCACGCCTTTGTTCGAGAACACATCCTCTATTTTACGTTTACTATGCGTCATTGGAGTGAAAAGGCGTAAACTTGATTTTCTGCTAAAAATGCGAATTTTTTACACTATCTGTTCTGAATAAACATTTTGGCAACTATCTGATCTCAATCACGAATTGTTTTCAAAGTTTGTCTTCCGTACAACGTCTATCAGTAGCTTCACCTGAGTTCCTATCAAAGTAGAACAGACCATATTCTACCCCTGTTCCTTATTTCAGCTATTTTGACGTGATTGATACAAACATATACAAAAACAGTCACAATTATAATGCTAAGTAAAATAGTATACACAGAAATATAAAATCCTACAAATAAGAGTTCAGTTTAAAATACCCCATAAGTTATAGGCAACGACGTGATTACGTACAAGCAAAAATGCATAGAATACCCAGTCACTTCCTAGAAAACCATTGCATTGGCTAAAGCTTAAGCCATAAAATCGGTACAATATGCACTATGGCTCCCTAGTCTTAACGATATGAGAAAGCATGAAGCAATAAATTGTATGGAACAAAAGGTTTAGAGTCTTTACAAATATTATTAGTTAGAAGTAAAAGTCGTTATCTAACGAGTTCTTAACTGTAACCTACACACTTTAGTTTTCATCTACAGACGTGTCGAAATCTTTCTTGTTAGATTTAACTGTCGTTGAAGGAATTTTCGTCGATGTTTAACAGATTTGGTAATTGCATTTTCAGTCGTAACTGGATTGTGATGTTACGTTGTAAAAGTTTAATGATTATTGTATTTTTTTGGCTACCTGCATACTTTCGTCTTATTGAATAATAACAGCAATTAACAGTTATATATTTCAAGTGGGTAACTTGTCTAACGTAAAATAATACTAAAGAAACTTTGAAAGCAATTCAAACCAGTCTATAAATTTTTTACATGTTAAAAGTATTTTACCTTTTCTTCTAAAACAAGTAAGAAAAACATTGGGGTCCCTCAGGGTTACATTATAGGCCCATCACTAAGGTATCAATATCAATTTACTTTACCTCTGATCGTACATTAAAATAAACTGCGTTTTTAAAAGTTACAATAGCGACTACCAAGCTTAAGATTTTGAATCGAAAAAGTATCATTAGGTTTTCATTTCAAAATTTACAGTACCAGGTAGCATGTAACGTAGTGCTCAGTATTGCTTGAACCCTTTGGTCTGATATCATAGCTATTAATACAAAGTATACTACAGACTGTCTGTCTATTCCTTTAGAGATTAACGGACGTGATGTTATGTTAACTTTTTATAAAGCTCACACATAAAGATGTAACCTCGCCACAGGTATAACAAGTAACCAAGTCTTACAGTCCGTTGAGTGGTTCTATTTTTATTTTAAACTAAACAGTTAAATATCTACTTAGCGTTTCTGGGTACACGTTTGTTTTAACATCGCTTTCAGTTATTTTCAGTTCCTGAAGGGTTTGTGAACGAACCAATCTTGGATGCATGTTTGTAATAATTTAAACTGTGTTATTCTTTTTCTATAACACACCTTTTTGATGTCTTCGACTTGTTAAAAACGTCAGGGATTTAGCTTTTTTTCTTCGTTTTTCTTGTTTTTTGAGAAAGATTAAGTTGTTTCGGTTTTTTTGAAAAGGGTTTTTCGATGTTAATGTGTCGTTAAAGTCTTGTTGTCTTGGGTAGTTCGTAAATTATCGAAGCGGTGGGCGCTTTTGGTCTTTCTTGTGTCCTATGACAATATTTGTTTGTGTTTCATTATTGTTTTTATCTTTTGTTATTATCGGATTGTTTCTCTCAGTGATCAATTGAATAATATCTGTCACTCGTCAGTGAAGCTATTTGCTCATTCAAAGAGTATTTTATAGCAATCAAGCTAGGATTAATGTTACTCATTTTAGTTTTATTTATACCTATATCATATCATTCTAAAACATTATAATTGCTAGGATAAATACCACAAAACGGTAAATAGTACTCGAATGATATTTAATTGTACCTAACTGTTTTCTCCAAAATTATGACCAAGAAAGTAATCATGCAAATATCATTCCTTTGCAAAATGTTAT